AAAACTACTATTGCAAAGACATTTTCCATTGTGACAATGATGCAATTTTCTTAGTAAAATTCACTTTATATGAAATTCTTAACTACTGTGAAGTATGTTCAATGTTTTTAATATTTTTAAAGAAGACACGTACATATAGGCATCGTTGAAAAAGGAAAATGCTAAATGTTATTGTTGAATATAAATGAAGCACGAGCTGCATTTTCTGATAATTGTTTTCAATTTTTTATAATCACTAACATGTATCGATAATATTGATTGATAGAAATGATTGTAGTACTACATGAATTTACATATAATAATGGTAGGATACACACAGCATTGTGTACATGTCAGTCAGCTTCACAGACAGCTGCAGGATTAATTAATTTCACATTTATGCTGTGATAAGGTCAGAAAAACAAGGACAATATTTCTGGTCAATTTGTTTATCAAAATTGATGTTTATGGGCATTCTATTAAAAGTGTGCTTTTATTTCCAGTTTTCCCAAAAAAATATTTTTTTTTTTTAATTTTTAAAATTCTGACAATTTTTTTTTTTAAAAAGCTGTGACATTCACATTTTTCGATAGATTGGTAGAATGACTAGAAACATAAACGTCAAAAGTTCCTAATCAGATGAGGGCAAATTTACTGCAGTTATGAGGTTAAGCGTCTTATATTCATGATCTGTTTGTTGTTGCCAGCTCAGTGTTTTTTTCAAAACATTGCCTGTTAACATTGTTAATTAACATTACTTTTAGCAATCCATGTAGGCTTTCTGCAGGCAATGTGTTGAGTAATTCTTAATGCATTGATAGGGTATACTAAAACAATGCATTTTATCATCTTATGATTGGGTATGCAAATTACCACTGTGACAATTTGAAATCTATAGTGTGGGTTCATCCATCCATGATTGGTTAAAACCTAAAATCTGAATTGTAGCATTGAAATCTGTTCCTACACAGGAATAATTTTGTACAATTTATATTTTCATTCATTCACAATCTACATGTAATTACTTCAATTAATTATAAACTTATAATAAGTATGTGCATATGGGGGCATGTAAGCTTTACTTAGTTACCAAGTAGTAAATTAATTATTTATTTATTTATTTTAAGTTGTCAACTCTTTGAATTTGTCTCGTATTTCATAAAATATAAAACTCGTATAAACTTTCTTATTTTTATGAATGAAAATTACTTCATCAAAAATTAACAACAAAATAATAGAAAAATGCATGAAATGTTGCACCAACAACTACATGTAGGTTGGATATGTAGTCTGCGAAATTGAGCTCTGCTCTTGAAACAAAACAGTTGTTCATTCAAAATCAAGGGGAATTTTTTCAACCCTTTGAGGACCACTTTTTTTTACGCTTAATGTTAGGTAAATTATTTCACATTTTCTGTCATTTTCACTGAATTCAATTTTATTTTTGGACCAAACAAATAAAATGTGACATTGCTTCTAGTGTTTGATAAAACAAGCAGTCTGTCGGCTGAGATAGCTCCGCTGTTTGCAAGGCACATTTCAATTTAAGAACAGAAGATATCATTAGAAAATGGACAATATGTATATTACATGTATCAAAGCAATCAGACTTACGGTTCATTATTTAACAGAAATGACAAAAATATTCACCAAAATTAGAGAATTAAAGATATCATCGTGAAATGAACAAATCTGAGAGAAGTCCACATGTACATGTACCGGTAGTACTTGCATATATACCCAGTAATATCAAAGCAATAGGACTTACAGTTTTTAACAAGAGGCCGAAAATATCACTTTTTACTAAAAATAACAAAAATATTCACCAAAATTAGAGAATTAAAAGAAACATCATAAAATGAACAAATCTAAGAGAGATCTACCCAAGGTACATATACACCAAGTATGAAAGCATTCAGGCTTGTTGTTTTCAAGAAGTTGAAAAAGTAAAAAGTTGACACGGACGGCAATGAATGCCAACGGACAATCACTCATATGAAAAGCTCTGCTCGACAAAGTCGACAGCTGAGCAGACTGTAAATAAAACTATTTTGTGAATGGTGCCTGAAGTTGACTTTTTGTGCTCAAAGGGTTAAATATACTGTAAAACATGTTGAAAAAGCGGCATGCAATTATAGCGAATTGTGGTAAAATGGCGTAATAGCGAAATGTTGATTTAGCGAATCTCTCTTGTTGATGTTGATTTCTTTGTTTGGCGGCCATTTTGAATTGATAATAAAGTCATTAGCAACATCTTGAATTAGCGAATCAGTTCTCTCGCTAAATTCGCGAAAAAGACATGCTCGCGAAAGAAACATGTTTTACAGTACCGGTAGTCTTTTCGTATCATGTTTTTTCAAACTCAGATGTAAACTCTAAATGCTGTATAACAATTTAGCTAAATTTAGCTGAATAATATTTTGTTCACATTTACTTACATGTACCACACCTGGTAGGGGAAAATGATGACACTCAAATTGTTAAGCAGAGATGCTTGTAATTATAGTATTATTTTACAGAACTGATAATTTATTGCTTTTATAAAACATTTTGCCATGAAAAGTATAACTTGAATGTATCTCATTGATACCATTGTATGCATTTAATGCTGTTGAAAGAAATTTGCTCTTTGGGTCAATGGCCTTTTGCTTTGCAATAAACAAACAATATAATATCCAATTGCTTTTATCATATGCATAATTTGCATATCGCCACAGTGTGATGCAAGACAGGGCAAATCAAATACCTATATAACAAATGTACCACAGTATTACATTACATAATGCCAAACGCTTTTTTCATTGTATGCAAGGACAGAATTTTGTCCAGACCTTTTGGAGTTACATATGGTTGGATAACTAGGGATTATTAAAACAATGGTTAGTTTTGGAATGGTTGTATTTTTGGAATTAGTATTCAGTCCCTCCAAAAAAAAAAAAAATCAGTCATGAATTTTCAAAAAAATCATAACAAATTTGAGCAAATATCACATATGAGCAGAATTGTAGCCATAGTATATATGAAAAGCTTTCATGTGAATTACAACACATTGGCATCAACACCCACAAGTTTTTGAATACCCAGAAGTCTATTAATTTGTAAACATAGTAGTGAGTGTTGTAAGTATTCCTGTTAGGCAGTAGTAGCCCTAGTATCGTTTATTGGAAGTCTATGATCATTGCATGAGTGATGTTTAATTAACCTTTGATTAATAAGAGTTGAATTATTCCAAGGTTTTTTCCAGCGATTACGTTTTAGGAAATCCACACACATGTTTAAATGTATACATTTGTATTAAGAGAAGCACTAATATTGATGGGAGCCGGTAAGGTCACTTTGTTGACATCATATATCGGCTATTAAATCCAACAGATATCATTTTACTTTCAGTCCTTGTGCACGCCGCTTATCAATAAAATTACTATGTCATCACGTTCTTGGAGAAGATCCAAAACGTACAAGTAAATCCATGAATGATTGTATTTAGTTTTTAAACTACGAGACTGGTGTCCACAAATATGCACAGCTCTGCATTGTATGGTATCGATAAGGCAAGTATAACTAAACTTACATGTACAAGAATGCGAGTAATTACGTAATTGAAGCAATCATTTCAGTACAGTTTTAGTCAAACTGTTAAAGCAGCATTGATTGGTATGTTATAGAGGATTTGCAAGGATGGAAAGTCCGCCTTCTGCACAACATGTGGCTGAAATGCCTTGGACGGAAATGCTGGCTGAAAGTTCCATGCACTGCACTGTTCACAGCACATGGCTGAATAGCACGTCATAGAATGCAAAAAAATGTAATAGATTCTGTGTATTTTCTCATTTCAAAAAATCTAAGCATGAATAGAAGGATTCCAAGAGTTATAATGATTTCTACTCATTGGATCAACAAGGCCATTTTTAGTGATTTTAACAGTGTTCATTTCATAGTTTGTATTATTGTGAAATACTTTATTTTAGCTGGAATTAATTTTCACTGAAAAGACTTTTTGGGTGTTTTTTATGGAATTTATTTTCGCTGATTTTTGATGAGTTGAATGTGAAATGTAGGAAAAAATGTATATTCGCTGGATTTTATTTTCACTGAATCATTCCTTCAGCGAAAATAGCGAAAATCAATTCCAAGCAAAAATAAAGTATTTTTAATACTTTTTTTTTTTTAGTATTCTGTAGATTTATCCACAATACAAAAAAAACACTGCAACAATAAAATAAATCAGAATCGGATAAATACATGTATGGAACATAAACAAGACCAAAGAATTTGGTGCTAACGTCAATTTCAAATTTGACAGCTGTTCATAATGATACTATACTG